CAAAAAAAAAAAAAAAAAAAATCTGTACTGAACATATGTAGCTTTCTTGTCATTACTGCCTAAACAATACAGTATAAAAACTGAGTCGGGCTCGGTGGCTCAGCCTGTAATCCCACGCCTTTGGGAGGCTGAGGTGAGTGGACTGCCTGAGCCCACGGGTTCAAGACCCGCCTGGGCAGCGAGACCTCATCTCTACAATAAATCAAAAAATCAGCCGGGCGTAGGTAGCGTGTGCCTGTAATTCCGGCTACTTGGAAGGCTGAGGCGGAAGGATCGCTGGAGCCCAGCAGGTCGAGGCTGCGGTGGCCGGGAGCAGCCACTGCACTCCAGTCTGCGAGACAGAGTGAGACTCCAACTCAAAAAAAAAAACAAAAACTGCTTGGATACCATTTACGTTGCATCAGCTATTATTATCATTATTTTTTGAGTTGAAGTCTCAGGCTGGAGTGCAGCGACATGATCACGATATACCACAGCCTTGCCCTCCTGGGCTCTGGTAATCCTTCTGTGGCAGCTTCTCAAGCAGCTGGGACTATAGGTACACACCAGCATGCTGGGCTAACTTTATTTCTTAGAGACAAGGTCTCCCTGTGTTGCCTAGGCTGGTCTCGAACTCCTGGGCTAAACTGATCCTCCTGCCTCATCCTCCCAAAGAACTAGGACAACAGGCATGAGCCATTGTGCCCCGCCTACATTAGCTATTATAGGTGCTCTAGAGATGATCTGGAGTACACAAGGGCATGGGTGTAGGTGACGTGCAAATACTGCACCGTCTTATATGAGAGACTTGAGCATCTGCAGATTTTGGTATCCCTGTGGCTCCTGGAACCAATCTCTCGTGGATACTGGGGACAACTGTATGTGCAATATATGCATATGTAGAATATAAATTATACATACATATCAAAACATATTTTAAGTTTTCTCTTTTTTCTGAATACAAAAATAGTACATGTCGGACTGGAATAATAAAGAACAGTAAACACTGCCAACCAGAGTTAACCGCAGGAAGCACTTTGCTGCCTGCACTGCCAGGCTCTTCTCGGAGTGTGTATACCCACTCTCACAAGCTCAGGCTTTTCACTGTACACGTTGCCACCGCAGGGCCACACCTCACATTTCCTGGGAATACGTCCAGTCCGTCCTGGAGGGGCTCACAGGCAGGAGGGAACCCTCCCAGAACACCTCGCCCTCCCCTCTGCTCCTTCTTGTGCAGGACCATCGAGTTCTTTGCTCTCTGCTAGCCTGCTTGCCATGAGTGTATCGTGTGGCTCTCCACCCAGCGTGTAAGCCCCTGAGGGCCGGGCCAGTGCTTGGCCGCCTGTCGCTCCGCCCATGCACAGCTCACAGAAGGGCCCACTAAACCATGCTGATTGATTGAGTCCCAGATTGGCTACTACAGGGGGCCCGTCTATTACACTGGGTATACACTTTAATAGAGGAGCCTGGAAGGGAGTGGGGAGGTCAGCTGCCACCTGGAACAGCACGCAGAGCCCCCGTGCCTGGGAGAAAGAAGGGGCTCATACCTTGATGGTTGCGAGACTCAGGAGGCTGCAGGATTTGGGAAGCAGGGAAGTGAGGTGATTCGTGTGGACGACCAACACCTGTGTGGAGAGATTTGGGGACCTGCTGGGTCAAGGAGGGGTGGGCAGCAGGCAGGGCCGGCAAGGCCCAGCTCAGGAGGCATTGCACCCTGGGCACCTGCTCTCCCAGGTGCTGCAGTGGGGAGGCAGGTCAGACTCATGAATTCCCCAGATGGAAACTCAGATAATCTGCTTTGAAAACTGAAATTTCTTTTTTTTTTTCTGAGTTGGGGTCTCACTCTGTCACCCAGGTTGGAGTGCAGTGGCACAATCCTGGCTCACCACAGCCTCAGCCTCCTGGCTCAGGTGATCCTCTCACTTCAGCCTGCCGAGTAGCTGGGACTACAGGTGCATGCCACCATGCCCAGCTAATTTTTTGATTTTTTTTTTTGTATAGGCAGGGTCCCGCTATGTTGCCCATGCTAGTCTCAAATTCCTGGGCTCAAGCAATCCTCCCACCTTGGCTTCCCAAAGTGCTGGGATTACAGGCATAAGCCACTGTGCCAGGCCAAGTTTCTATTACTGTCATCACTGGGGTTAATAAGCACGTACTATATGGCAGGCATTACACCTGGTACATTTCTAGCTCTATCTGTTTAGCAGTTTACCACTCATTTAACTCTCACAATACCTCTGAGAGAATAGAACTGTGAATGTCTTCACTTCACAGATGAAGAAACCAAGACGTGAGCGTTTAAGGAAGTTACCCAAGTCATGAAGCCAGTGAAGGGCAGTGCAAGGATGTGACCCAGGGCTATCCAATCCCAAAGCCTACTCTCCTATCTGTGCAAACATCTGCTGTCGGCCAAAAAAGTGACACCTAGAGAGGAGGGAGGGGTCTATACCAGGAAGACAGTGCCTAAAGGTCCCACGTGGTTTCAAACAGGCAAATGTGCGATAAGCAGTGATTTGAAAATGAAGCTTCATCTCACCTTCTTCTGCAGAACTTTGCATGTTGCAAAAACTCCAAATGGAATCTAAGACAAGAGAAAGAAGAGTAAGTCCTCCCTCCTGCCAGTTTTCAATCAGTTCTCTAAGCGGCACTCACGTGAGGGCGAGATGGGCAGGAGGTGAGCAAGGGCAAAGGCTGCCGGGAGAGCAGCGCTGCTGGGGGTGTGGCCAGCTCTCCCCTCAGTCGGCTGGCAGGAGACGGCCCCACTGTATCCCACCCACCTTGTCCCCATTAAGAGCCCTATTAGGGGCTAGAGAATGCCAGACCCTTCCAGCACTCTGGGAATCTCTGGTTACATTTTCTTCTTCTGAGTTGGGGGGTCTCACTCTGTTACCCAGGCTGGATGGAGTCCAGTGGCACGATCATGACTCACCGCAGCCGTGACCTCCTGGGCTCACGTGATCCTCCTGCCTCAGCCTCCCGAGTAGCTGGGACTACAGGTGCATGCCACCATGCCCAGTTACTTTTTAAAAATGTTTGCAGAAACAAGGTCTCATTATGTTCCCCAGGCTGATCTTGAACTCCTGAGCTCAAGCAATCCTCCCACCTAAGCCTCCTCATGTGCTGGGCTGCAGAGCCACTGCACCCAGTCCTGTGGGTATGTTTTCTAACTAGACTCCTTGACTCTTGGAGACTATGTTGAGGCCACAGAATCATCGTTTTTTTTTTTGAGTTGGAGTCTCACTCTGGGAGTGCAGTGGCACGCTCATGGCCACCGCGGCCTTGACCTACTGGGCTTAGGTGATCCTTCAGCCTCAGCCTCCCAAGTAGTTGGAACTACAGACTCATGCCACCACGCCCAGCTAGTTTTTGTGATTTATTGTAGAGACAAGGTCTCACCAAGTTGCCCAGGCTGGTCTCGAACCCCTGGGCTCAGGCAATGCTCATGTCTCAGCCTCCCAAAGTGCTGGGATTAAAGGCTGAGCCACCATACCCGACTAGGATCATCTTAATTATTTTGGACAAGAACAAAATCTTAGGAAAAATTGCTTGACTATTGCTTCTGGCTTTTTCAAAGCCCCAGTCCACATCTGTCTTTCCTAGGGACATGTGATCTGAGAAAACACAACAGATCCAATGCATAGCCCAAGCACCACCCTCAGTTTACCTCTGAGAGCTCACATTTAGAGATGTCAAGAATGTCATCTGCCCCAGCTTCTTTTGCCTAAAGGTAAAAAGAATTTTTTTTAAAAGTGCTCATGATATCCCTACTGAGTGCACAAATCAGGGAAAGAAACATAAAACTATAGAGTTGCAAGGGCCCACTATGTGGTTCCCTTGTCTGTTCTGCAGGTGGAACAGCAATTTCTGCTTTCCTGGCATGTGAGGTCCAGGAGGGAGGAACAACTGAACAGGCATGGCAAGTGTGCTCAGTCTGTGCAGGGGACATGCACTTGATAGGGCCTCACTCGTTGGGTCTGAGTCGGATACAGTTTGAGTCCCCTACCTATGAACCCTCAAACTGTGTTCTCTCGTTTAGTCTTGTGTTGGAGTCTCACTCCATTGCCCAGGCTGGAGTGCAGTGGCACTCTCACAGCCACCCCAGTGTCCACCCGCTGAGCTCTGGCAATCCTTCCACCTCAGCCTTCCAAGTGGCCAGAGCTACAAGGCACGTGCCACCACGCCCGGCTAATTTTCAGATTTATTGTAGAGACGAGGTCTCGCCAAGTTGCCCAGGCTGTTCCTGTGGGTTCAGGCAATCCACTCGCCTCGACCTCCCAAAGTGCTGGGATTACAGGCTGAGTCACTGAGTCCGTAAATTGTGAACTTTCAAAGACATGTGTTCACATGTCCAACCACTTAGGTGTTTTTTTTTTTGTGATTGTTTTATTTATTATTTGTGTGAAAAGTATTATAAATCTATTACAGGCCAGTACTAAATAGCCGATCGTGTTAGTTGAATACCTAGGTTTGTTGTACTTAACAAATTGGACTTATATGCTATTGGACTGGAGCTTGTTCGTATGTAGGGGACTTACTGTATTTCTTCTGGGGTTGGGGGTGGCAGATGAGAGAGAGCACAATTGTTTGGGGATACTGCAAAGCCCTATTTCCTGGGGTGGAGGAGGAGCAGACGGGCGGGAGTCAGAGGAAACCTGTTTTCCCTCACCAGACACATTTGGTACTCCAGGCGTTTCCGGGCCTCCTCGCTGGGTTTCCGCTTCCGGAAGAAGAGTGGCATCCTTTCCTTTACCCAGACTGATCTTCAGGCCTCTGAGATGTAGGAGAGAAGTTAGGGCCTGGGGGATCTATCACAGCCCCTCAACACCCAGGGGTGACAGCACAGAAACCCAGCATGCAACTGGTCTGTGGGACTGTGAGTCTGTCTTGCTTTTCAGGCTATGCCCTGAGCCCTACACAGCAGGTGCTCAATACTCTTTGTTCTTTTTTTTTCGGGGGGGGGGGGGGGGGGGGG